AATAAAGTACAGAAAAATCATATAAAATAAAAATAAAAGGAGATGCAGGAATATTTTCTAACACAGTGGACAAGTTTGATGCTACTTCATCCCAGAATATAGATACCTAAGGGCATTCCCAAACCATGTGTATAAAGGTACCAGGGCCCGGTTTTCCAATAGCGATGGAACTTAGGCTTGCGAGTGTTTTAACAATGCATTTTTCCTACAACAGCAGAAGATGTAACATGCGTTTCCCAAAACACCACGTAGAGAGAACTAAAGGATCGAAAGAAAGGGAGCGCTGCAACAGGTCAGCACCTCAGGAGTAAATGTCAGTTGGCTTTTCATAGCCGAGCATTCAGAGGTCGAGACAGGAGAGACAGAGAGACAGAGAGAGAGAGGGAGAACGAGAGAGAGAGAGAGATATTGGAGGCTGAGACAGGGGGTTCAGGGGACACTGTGGCCCTGTCTGACCTATACCCCCGGACAGGGCCAACCAGGAAGGACATAACCCCACCTACTTTGCCAAAGCACAGCCCCCAGACCACTAGAGGGATATCAACAGACCACCAACTTACTTCCCTGAGACAAGGCTGAGTACAGCCCACGAAGATCTCCTCCACTGCATGAGCCCGAGGTGGCGCAAAACTGGACAGGAAAATCACATCAGTGACTGAACCCACTCAAGTCGAGTATAGCGAAAAAAGCCTGGCACAACGTGACACACCCCTCCTAGGGACAGCATGGAAGAGCACTAGTAACCCAGTGTCTCAACCCCCGTAATAGGTTCAGAGGCAGAGAATCCCAGTGGAGAGAGGGGAGCCGGCCAGGCAGAGACAGCAAGGGCGGTTCGTCACTCCAGTGCCTTGCCGTTCACCTTCGCACCCCTGGGCCAGACTACACTCAATCATAGGACCTACTGAAGAGATGAGTCTTCAATAAAGACTTAAAGGTTGAGACTGAGTCTGCGTCTCTCTCATGGATAGGCAGACCATTCCATAAAAATTGACCTCTATAGGAGAAAGCCCTGCCTCCAGCTGTTTGTTTAGAAATTCTAGGAACAATAAGGAGGCCTGCGTCTTGTGACCGTAGCGTACGTGCAGGACCAAATCGGAGAGATAGGTAGGTGCAAGTCCATGTAATGCTTTGTAGGTTAGCAGTAAAACCTTGAAATCAGCCCTAGCCTTAACAGGAAGAAAGTGTAGACAGGAAGAAATATGATCAAATATTGGGGTTCTAGTCAAGATTCCAGCAGCCGTATTTAGCACTTACTTAAGTTTATTTAGTGCTTTATATGATATGTTCATCAAAAGAGAGATCAGGGTCCAGAGTAAAGCCGAGGTCCTTCACAGTTTTATTTGAGACGATTGTACAACCATCAAGATGAATTGTCAGATCAAACAGCAGATCTCTTTGTTTTTTGGGACCTAGAACTAGCATCTCTGTTTTGTCCGAGTTTAAAACTAAAACATTTGCCGCAATCCTCTTCCTTATGTCTGAAACACAGGCTTCCAGGGTAGGCAATTTTGGGGCTTCACCATGTTTCATCGAAATGTACAGCTGTGTGTCGTCCACATAGCAGAGAAAGTTGACATTGTGTTTCCGAATGACATCACCAAGAGATAGAATATATAATGAAAACAATAGTGGTCCTAAAACGGAACCTTGAAGAACACCGAAACGTTAAATTGATTTGTCAGAGGACAAACCATCCACAGAGACGAACTGATATCTTTCCGACAGATAAGATCTAAACCAGGCAAGAACTTGTCTGTGTAGACCAATTAGGGTGTCCAATCTCTCCAAAAGAATGTGGTGATCGATGGTTTCAAAGGCGGCGCTAAGGTCTAGGAGCACGAGGACAGATGCAAAGCCTTAGTCTGATGCCATTAAAAGGTAATTTACCACCTTCACGAGTGCTGTCTCAGTACTATGATGTGGTCTAAAACCAGACTGAAGCGTTTCATATACATAATTTGTCTTCAGGAAGTCAGTGAGTTGCTGCGCAACAGCTTTTTCTAAAAATGTTGAGAGGAATGGGAGATTCGATATAGGTCGATAGTTCTTCTACTTTTCCGGGTCAAGGTTTGGCTTTTTCAGGAGAGGCTTTATTACTGCCACTTTTAGTGAGTTTGGTTCACATCCAGAGGATAGGGAGCCATTTATTATGTTCAACATAGGAGGGCCAAGCACAGGAAGTAGCTCTTTCAGTAGTTTAGATGGAATAGGGTCTAGTAGGCAGCTGGAAGGTTTAGAGGCCATTACTATTTTCATGAATGTGTCAAGAGATACAGGATTAAACAACTCAAGTGTCTCTGTTGAATTTAGGTCCTGGCAGTTCTGTGCAGACTCAGGACAACTGAGTTTTGGATAATACGCAGATTCAAAGAGGAGTCAATAATTTGCTTGCTAATGATCATGATCTATTCGTCGAAGAAGTTAATGAATTCATCACTGCAGAAGTTTAGCCATCCTCTCTTGGGGAATGCTGCTTTTTAGTTAGCTTTGCGACAATATCTAAAACTTTTTGATTGTTTTTGATCTCCTCAATTAGGGTGGAAAAGTAGGTTGATCGAGCAACAGTGAGGGCTCTTCGATATTGCATGGTACTGTCTTTCCAAGCTAGTTGGAAGACTTCCAGTTTGCTGGAGCGCCATTTCGGTTCCAATTTTATGGAAGCTACACATCATGAAATATATTGAGACAAATTACAGAATAGCCGACAAGTAGCAAAATATAACTTTATTGATTGAACATTAAATGTATTTAAACGTGATTGAAATAGGCCTATAGCCTACTGTTTATATTTTAATGCAGTCATCTCGGTATTCATTTGAAGTGTATTTTTATATGTAGCTTGTTTGTATCAATTGCAAAGACATAGGTACCTTTGCATTTGTAGTCACATTTGTTCTGAAGTTATCAGAGGTCAGAGCGATGGATAAACCATTTGATTCTATGTTTAGCTGAGATCTTCTGTGTATAAAATGACGCGGCAGAGCAAAAAAGCATCTAACAATGCACTTAGCTGTGGTCTGAGTGGTCTGAGGCAGGCATTAGATTACGAGTGTAACGTTAATAATGATGGTTTTTGGAAACAGCTTGGAGATTTAACAATGCTCCAATAGGTTCTAACAATGAACTTAGCCTTGAGATGCTTTTGGGAAACCGGGCCCAGGTTCATTAAGAGTGCATAATGTACAGGAAGCATCATTGAAAATGTTAATATGGAACATCTTACGAGGAATTACAGTGCCTTGCAAAAGTATTCATCCCCTTGGTGTTTTTCCTATTTTGTTGCATTACAACCTGTAATTTAAATGGATTTTTATTTGGATTTCATGTAATGGACATACACAAAATAGTCTAAATTGGTGAAGTGAAATTAAAAAAATAACTTGTTTCAGAGAATTCAAATAAATAAATAACGGAAAAGTGGTGCGTGCATATGTATTCACCCCCTTTCCTATGAAGCCCCTAAATAAGATCTGGTGCAACCAATTACCTTCAGAAGTCACATAATTAGTTAGATTGCACACAGGTGGACTTTATTTAAGTGTCACATGATCTGTCACATGATCTCAGTATATATACACCTGTTCTGAAAGGCCCCAGAGTCTGCAACACCACTAAGCACAGGGCACCACCAAGCAAGCGGCACCATGAAGACCAAGGAGCTCTCCAAACAGGTCAGGGACAAAGTTGTGGAGAAGTACAGATCAGGGTTGGGTTATAAAAAAATATCAGAAACTTTGAACATCCCACGGAGCACCATTAAATCCATTATTAAAAAATGGAAAGAATATGGCACCACAACAAACCTGCCAAGAGAGGGCCGCCCACCAAAACTCACCCAAAACTCACGGACCATGCAAGGAGGGCATTAATCAGAGATGCAACAAAGAGACCAAAGATAACCCTGAAGGAGCTGCAAAGCTCCACAGCGGAGATTGGAATATCTGTCCATAGGACCACTTTAAGCCATACACTCCACAGACCTGGGCTTTACGGAAGAGTGGCCAGAAAAAAGCCATTGCTTAAAGAAAACAATAAGCAAACACGTTTGGTGTTCGCCAAAAGGCATGTGGGAGACTCCCCAAACATATGGAAGAAGGTACTCTGGTCAGATGAGACTAAAATTGAGCTTTTTGGCCATCAAGAAAAACGCTATGTCTGGCGCAAACCCAACACCTCTCATCACCCCGAGAATACCATCCCCACAGTGAAGCATGGTGGTGGCAGCATCATGCTGTAGGGATGTTTTTCATTGGCAGGGACTGGGAAACTGGTCAGAATTGAAGGAATGATGGATGGCGCTAAATACAGGGAAATTCTTGAGGGAAACCTGTTTCAGTCTTCCAGAGATTTGAGACTGGGACGGAGGTTCACCTTCCAGCAGGACAATGACCCTAAGCATACTGCTAAAGCAACACTCGAGTGGTTTAAGGGGAAACATTTAAATGTCTTGGAATGGCCTAGTCAAAACCCAGACCTCAATCCAATTGAGAATCTGTGGTATGACTTAAAGATTGCTGTACACCAATGGAACCCATCCAACTTGAAGGAGCTGGAGCAGTTTTGCCTTGAAGAATGGGCAAAAAATCCCAATGGCTAGATGTGCCAAGCTTATAGAGACATACCCCAAAATACATGCAGCTGTAATTGCTGTAAAAGGTGGCTCTACAAAGTATTGACTTTGGGGGGTGAATAGTTATGCATGCTCAAGTTCTGTTTTTTTGTCTTATATCTTGTTTGTTTCACACATTTTTTTATTTTGCATCTTCAAAGTGGTAGGCATGTTATGTAAATCAAATGATACAAACCCCCCAAAAATCCATTTTAATTCCAGGTTGTAAGGCAACAAAATAGGAAAAATGCCAAGGGGGGTGAATAATTTCACAAGCCACTGTAGATAAGTCCTGTGTACAAAATTATAATGGATCTGTTGGTGATCATATTTGTTGTGAACTTTGTTCATACGTGTGTGTGTGTATGTGTGTGTGTGTGTGTGTGTAGACCTGCGGGCCCAGCTGTGTGACCAGATCAAGGTTCTGGACGGTCAGGTGGAGGTCAAAGGTCAACAGCTGTCTGACCTGTCCGAGTTCTTCCGTCGTCGTGGCGACATTGAGGCGGAGTACGCCCGCGCCCTCGACAAACTTACAGAGAGGTTCACCCTGAAGACCAAGAGGTGTGTGTGTGTGTAAAAAATAATAATTCTGCATTGTTTATTTTGCTATTATTGCTTGACCTGTTTATACTGACTGTCAGACGCTATTATTGATGCAATGTTAGTATAGGGAACTCAACCATAATATTATGTAAATTGGTTTAACTCTTGCCCTCTCTCTCCTCGCCCTGTCTCTCCCCCTCTGTCTCTCCCCCTCTGTCTTTCTCTCCCCCCATCTCGCTCTACTCCTCTCTCTTTCCTCTCTGTTACTCTCCTTTCCCCCCTCCTCCCCCCTCCCTCCCTGTAGGAAGGAACAGAGTGGTCAGTCGGTGTCTCAGTGTTGGTCAGTTTTGTTGACACAGACACGTGCAGAGAGCAGAGAACATGCAGCGCTGAGTGACTCCTGCTCACACACTCTCACACAGCGACTCACACACTGCTCAGAGGACACACACCGCCTGGCAAAACGGGTACACACACACACATTCATATTTACAGTCCCTGAACAAATGATCTACCCACTTTCGTTGCCTTCCAGCCAAGACTGTTTTTACATAAAATTATATGTATTTTTCACTGATCTACACAACTCCAAAATATAAAAGTGAAAATGTGATAGTGTGTTACACTGTCTGATGATTGATTTGTCTCTGAACAGAGTAAGGAGGTGGGAGTTCAGATGCAAGATGAGCTACTGAAGGTCACCACTGAACTGCAGACGGTACGGACATACCTTAGTCACTAGTCACTAACGATGAGGACGATAGTAAAAAGATGGAGATGGTATTACCAGCATTTTATCTTACTTGTGAGTGGGTGTGTGTGTGTGTGTGTGTGTTAAGGCTCTGAGGACCTACCACCAGTACCATACAGACAGTCTGACAGCGGAGGGGAAACTAAAGGAAGCCACACGATTGGAGGAAAGACAGACGGGCAAGTCAGCTGAACTGGGGATAACACAATCGGGAGGCCAGAGGCGGAGCTCTGTGAAGAAGATGGAGAAAATGATGGAAAAAGTAAGGTTGGCGTCTGACTACAGATCTCACAATGTCTGGATAGGTCTTTAAAATAACAGCTGACCACATCATATGATATAACAATCTGATGCCCGACTGCACAGTCGATTATGTGGCACATAACCATTTGTTAATGCAATGCAACGTCTGCAATGAAGTCGGCCTGGAGTGTGGCAAAGGTTGTTGTTGAGATGTGTGTGGTTTTCATGTGGCACAGGATACAGACAGGTTTGTAGAGTTTTGAGTCAGACATCCTGTGCCACATGAAAACCACACACAACAGAACAATAATGTGAGCTACTTCTGTAGTGCCAAATCAAACCAATTACATCTAGTGCCAAACCCCTTGACCCTAGCCCCTAACCTCTAACCCCTGACCTGAGCCTGTACCAAAGGGAGTATGAATCAAGGAACCTTCATTGTCATTAGCTTTTAACCAAATTGTGTGTGTGTGCTCCACAGAGACATGGCAGAGTGCAGGAGACCCAGCTGAAGTGCACTAAGGCTCGTAACGACTATCTGCTGAATCTGGCTGCTGCAAACGCAACTATGAACAAGTATTATCTACAGGATCTCAGCACACTCATAGACGTGAGTCACTGTGTGTGTGTGTGTCCGTGTGTGTATACGTATGTGTGTTTTCGTGCGCGCTGGTGCCTTTGTGTGTGTCCATTACACAATCTTATATTATAAAATGTTTAACTGACATACTAAGTATTAATCTTCCATCTCTCTCTCTCTCTCTCTCTCTCTCTCTCTCTCACTCTCAGTGTACTGACCTGGGGTTCCACCTCTCCTTGGAGCGAGTGATGAGGTCATACCTGGCCAGCAGGGGGCGTGTCCTGAAGGCTGAGGAGGCAGGTCTGAAGCAGCTGGAACAGGAAGTAACATCACTGGATCAGGGCGGAGACAGAGACGCTCTACTACAGAACCACGACACAGCGTTCTGTCTGCCCTTCCGCTTCAGTTACCATCCCCATGAGGGAGACCAGGTACACACACATTCATGTTCATCCATCAATGGGTGATGACCATGACACATTCTATCAGAACTATGGAGTGCAAAGATGGCCGGTTACAAGGCCAATATGTGCCCTGTATATTCTGTGACACACTGAACATGATATGTTGAGCTCCCACAGGAAGAGCTTTTGGTACACATCCCTAATGTGTTCCAGGTGAGCGAGGTGAGTGCGGAGAGCCAGGTGAGGTATGAGTTAGAGACCAGGTTCCAACAGCTCCAGTCCCGCCTCTCCACCGAAACCTTGGAAACAGAGGAGGTGAGGTCTTCACTCTATTCTTATCTATCTATTGATTTATCGATCCACCGATCAATCGATTTATAATTTTTTTATCTATTGTATGTATCAATTTTCCAGGTCAGTAAGACACTCAAAGCCACCCTCTCCGCGCTATTGGACAATATGTGTGACAGTGACAGTAACCCTCCCCCTGACCTGCCCATCAGCCTATCACACGACCCCATGGGAGCCGCCACCTCCTCCAAACTAGCCCTTGCCAAGCGGAGAGCCAATCAGCAGGAAACAGAGACGTTCTACTTTACGGTGAGGGCATTCCATTGGTCAGGGTAAGGTGTGAGGGGAGTCTAATGATAGTATTATGGATTGCATCTCCATATAGTGCTTCTGTGACCAACTAGGTTTGAAACCTGGGACATCTGAACAACACAATACTGTGTTAGCCCACTGAGCTAAAGTTGTGTAAAGGAGCTAATGCTGCAAAGGTAAAAGTGTGTATCTCTGTTTCTGTCGTTTGTCAGAAAGTTAAGGAGTATCTGACTGGAAGCTCCCTGATCTCCAAACTACAGGCTAAACATGACCTGCTGCAGGAGGCCATAGAGAAAGGTACTACTACTATACTACTACTGCACTACTAATGTACAACTACTATACTACTACTATACAACTACTATACTACTACTGTACTACTATACTACTACTGCACTACTACTATACTACTATTGTACTACTATTGTACTACTACTATACTACTACACTACTACTACTTCACTACTACTATACTACTACTATACTACTACTACACTAATACTATACTACTAATGCACTACTACACTACTACTACAGCACTACTACTATACTACTACTGCACTACTAATGTACTACTACAGCATTACTACTATACTACTACTGCACTACTAATGTACTACTACTATACAACTACTATACTACTACTATATTACTACTGCACTACTATTATACTACAACGATAATACTAATATATTACTACTATACTACTACTGCACTACTACACTACTACTACTGCACTACTACTATGCTACGACTATACTACTACTGCACTACTATACTACTACTACTACTGCACTACTACTATACTACTATTATACTACTACTGTACTACTATTACTTTACCACAACTGTATAATACTACACAACTACTACACAACTAATCTTACACTATCCCTAACTCTCTCCCTCTCGCTCTCCTTCCTCCTTCTCCCTCTCCCATTCTTCAACTATCTGTTTGTTTTACAGCTAAGGCCATTGATAGCGACCCCTCCAGGTAAACATTCCTGATATTGCTCTGAGAGAGAGAGAGAGAGAGAGAGAGAGAGAGAGAGAGAGAGAGAGAGAGAGAGAGAGAGAGAGAGAGGAGAGAGAGAGAGAGAGAGAGAAGAGAGAGAGAGAGAGCGAGAGAGAGAGAGAGAGAGAGGAGAGAGAGAGAGAGAGAGAGAGAGAGAGAGAGAGAAATTAGAGAGAAAAAGAAAGAAAGAAAGAGAGAGTATAATCTTCAATGCAGCAACAAATCCAAGACTGTAGCAAAAGCTACACTACACTTTTACTGTTGAAAAGCATGATGTGTGTATGTATGTGTGTGTATGTATTAGTGTATGACTGTTGAGTGATGCTGTATATCTCCCAGAATGCAGTGTGCTAGGTCAGTGCGTGTGCGGAGGTCCAGACCCTGTTCCATGTACAGCCACACTCTCTTCACCTCTGATATGCTGGGTTTCATACAGGTAACACACACACACACACACACACACACATACACAAACACTAATATGTCATAATGCTAATATGTGTAGGAGAGATGTGCAGTGTGTGGACGGCACCCTCAGGGAATCAATCTCCACGCTCCAATACAAAAACTAACAGTGACAATGTTTCATAAAGCTCTTCGGCACTTTTGTTCTCTCTCGTCAACTTTCTTTCTTTCTCTCTCTAAATTCTCCTCTTCTGAGAGCTTAAACTGTAGTCTTTATCCTACTCCAGTGAGTGATGTTAAACGGTAGTCTTTCTCCTACTCCTGTGAGTGATGTTATACTGTAGTCTCTCTCCTACTCCTGTGAGTGATGTTAAACAGTAGTCTCTCTCCTACTCCAGTGAGTGATGTTATACTGTAGTCTCTCTCCTACTCCTGTGAGTGATGTTAAACAGTAGTCTCTCTCCTACTCCTGTGAGTGATGTTAAACTGTAGTCTTTCTCCTACTCCTGTGAGTGATGTTAAACTGTAGTCTTTCTCCTACTCCAGTGAGTGATGTTATACTGTAGTCTCTCTCCTACTCCTGTGAGTGATGTTAAACAGTAGTCTCTCTCCTACTCCTGTGAGTGATGTTAAACTGTAGTCTTTCTCCTACTCCAGTGAGTGATGTTATACTGTAGTCTCTCTCCTACTCCTGTGAGTGATGTTAAACAGTAGTCTCTCTCCTACTCCTGTGAGTGATGTTAAACTGTAGTCTTTCTCCTACTCCTGTGAGTGATCTTAAACAGTAGTCTCGCTCCTACTCCTGTGAGTGATTTTAAGCAGCAGTCTCTTTCCTACTCCTGTGAGTGATCTTAAACAGTAGTCTCTCTCCTACTCATGTGAGTGATCTTCAACAGTAGTCTCTCTCCTACTCCTGTGAGTGATATTAAACAGTAGTCTCTCTCCTACTCCAGTGAGTGATGTTAAACTGTAATCTTTCTCCTACTCCAGTGAGTGATGTTAAACTGTAGTCTTTCCTCTACTCCAGTGAGTGATGTTAACTGTAGTCTTTCTCCTACTCCTGTGAGTGATGTTAAACTGTAGTCTTTCTCCTACTCCAGTGAGTGATGCTAAACTGTAGTCTCACTCCTACTCCTGTGAGTGATCTTAAACAGTAGTCTCTCCTACTCCTGTGAGTGATCTTAAACAGTAGTCTCTCTCCTACTCCTGTGAGTGATGTTAAGCAGCAGCCTCTCTCCTACTCCTGTGAGTGATCTTAAACAGTAGTCTTGCTTCTACTCCTGTGAGTGATTTTAAGCAGCAGTCTCTCTCCTACTCCTGTGAGTGATCTTAAACAGTAGTCTCTCTCCTACTCCTGTGAGTGATTATAGCAGCAGTCTCTCTACTACTCCTGTGAGTGATCTTCAACAGTAGTATCTCTCCTACTCCTGTGAGTGATCTTCAACAGTAGTCTCTCTCCTACTCCTGTGAGTGATATTAAACAGTAGTCTCTCTCCTAATCCTGTGAGTGATATTAAACAGTAGTCTCTCCTAATCCTGTGAGTGATATTAAACAGTAGTCTCTCCTACTCCTGTGAGTGATATTAAACAGTAGTTTCTCCTACTCCTGTGAGTGATATTAAACAGTAGTCTCTCCTAATCCTGTGAGTGATATTAAACAGTAGTCTCTCTCCTACTCCTGTGAGTGATATTAAACAGTAGTCTCTCTCCTACTCCTGTGAGTGATATTAAACAGTAGTCTCTTCCTAATTCCTGTGAGTGATATTAAACAGTAGTCTTTCCTACTCCTGTGAGTGATATTAAACAGTAGTCTCTCCTACTCCTGTGAGTGATCTTCAACAGTAGTCTCTCTCCTACTCCTGTGAGTGATATTAAACAGTAGTCTCTCCTAATCCTGTGAGTGATATTAAACAGTAGTCTCTCCTAATCCTATGAGTGATATTAAACAGTAGTCTCTCCTAATCCTGTGAGTGATATTAAACAGTAGTCTCTCCTACTCCTGTGAGTGATATTAAACAGTAGTCTCTCCTACTCCTGTGAGTGATATTAAACAGTAGTCTCTCCTAATCCTGTGAGTGATATTAAATAGTAGTCTCTCTCCTACTCCTGTGAGTGATATTAAACAGTAGTCTCTCCTAATCCTGTGAGTGATATTAAACAGTAGTCTCTCTCCTACTCCTGTGAGTGATATTAAACAGTAGTCTCTCCTACTCCTGTGAGTGATATTAAACAGTAGTCTCTCCTACTCCTGTGAGTGATATTAAACAGTAGTCTCTCCTACTCCTGTGAGTGATATTAAACAGTAGTCTCTCCTACTCCTGTGAGTGATATTAAACAGTAGTCTCTCTCCTACTCCTGTGAGTGATATTAAACAGTAGTCTCTCCTACTCCTGTGAGTGATATTAAACAGTAGTCTCTCCTACTCCTGTGAGTGATATTAAACAGTAGTCTCTCTCCTACTCCTGTGAGTGATGTTAAACAGTAGTCTCTCCTACTCCTGTGAGTGATATTAAACAGTAGTCTCTCCTACTCCTGTGAGTGATATTAAACAGTAGTCTCTCCTACTCCTGTGAGTGATATTAAACAGTAGTCTCTCCTAATCCTGTGAGTGATATTAAACAGTAGTCTCTCCTACTCCTGTGAGTGATATTAAACAGTAGTCTCTCCTACTCCTGTGAGTGATATTAACAGTAGTCTCTCCTACTCCTGTGAGTGATATTAAACAGTAGTCTCTCCTACTCCTGTGAGTGATATTAAACAGTAGTCTCTCCTACTCCTGTGAGTGATATTAAACAGTAGTCTTTCCTACTCCTGTGAGTGATATTAAACAGTAGTCTCTCTCCTACTCCTGTGAGTGATATTAAACAGTAGTCTCTCCTACTCCTGTGAGTGATATTAAACAGTAGTCTCTCCTACTCCTGTGAGTGATATTAAACAGTAGTCTCTCCTACTCCTGTGAGTGATATTAAACAGTAGTCTCTCCTAATCCTGTGAGTGATATTAAACAGTAGTCTCTCCTACTCCTGTGAGTGATATTAAACAGTAGTCTCTCCTACTCCTGTGAGTGATATTAAACAGTAGTCTCTCCTACTCCTGTGAGTGATATTAAACAGTAGTCTCTCCTACTCCTGTGAGTGATATTAAACAGTAGTCTCTCTCCTACTCCTGTGAGTGATATTAAACAGTAGTCTCTCCTAATCCTGTGAGTGTGCCTTGTACCCCTCATATGCCTTCTTTCACGTTTATAATCTTCTCTTCAATCTCTCTCTTTCTGCTTGGCTGAGTGTAGAAGAAGGAGGAGAATGTCTAGGACACAGGTATTATTGACTCTACTTGTCATTTGTGTGTGTGTCTGTGGTGTGGTGTGTGTTGCTCTGACTTTCGTTTACTCTTTGCATCTGTCCTATCGCTCTGATCTGAGCCGAGACTGCCTCTGCGAGCATCGAGAGCTCAGTGTATCAGTGTCTCTCTCTCTGCTCAGAAAGCGGTATATCCTTCTCTCTCTCTCTACTCTCTTTCGTCTCTCTCTGATCTCTCTTCTCTTCTCTTCTCTCTCTCAGAGTTCAGGGCAGCAGATTCCTGTGGTGGTTGAAAGCTGCATTCGCTTCATAAATCTCCACGGTCTGCACCATGAGGGGATATTCCGTGTTCCAGGGTCCCAGAGAGAGGTCAACCACATCAGGGATGCTTTTGAGCGAGGTAGCCTACACACACATAGGTGTTGCCTGAGAGAGGTACTGTGGAGTGTTGCATCAGATGCCCATGCAAATATTATATTTGGGGGATGCAGTATGTGTGAATGGAAGCTGAGTTGTCAACAACATGTCTATGTTTGTGGTTTTTTGTGTGTGTGCATGTGTGTGTGTGTGTGTGTGTGTGTGCATGTGTGTGTGCATGCGCGCATGCGTGTGTTTTTATAGGAGAGGACCCTCTGGCAGACAGTGACTGTGACATTGATTCGGTGGCTGGAGTGTTGAAGCTGTACTTCAGAGGACTGGACCCGCCGCTGTTCCCTGACGAATATTACACAGAACTATTGGACTGTGTCCGTAAGTCAAACACATAAATACCACACACTACTGACACTACTGACATGTGTCTGTAACTAAACACATGTACGGTATGATATCATGTCTCTTCTCCCTCTCACCTATCGCCTTTTCTCCTCATGTCTCCGACACTCCCCTCTCTCTTCCTACTCTCTTCTCTGATCGCGTCTAGGAAAGAAACTCATAGAACCTTCACTCGTCTCCTTCTTTACTATCGCTCTATATCCTGGTCTTACAATCTCTCCCTCTCCCTCCCTCTCTCTCTCTTTCTCTCTCTGTCTCCCGCACTCTCTCTCTCCCTCTCTCTCTCCCTACCTCTCTTTCTCTGTGTCGCTCTCTCTCTCTACCTCCCTTCCTCCCTCCTCTCTCTCTCTCTCTCTCTCTCTCTCTCTCTCTCTCAGAGAACGAGGGATTGGCAGAGAAAGCAGCTCAGATAAAGTCAGTTGTCTCCTCCTTCCCTCGACCGCTCCTTATCGTCATACGTTACCTCTTCGCTTTTCTCAACCAGTACGTTTCAGTTTGCACATTCATGTCCTGTGTGTGTGTGTCTTCACAGAGCCAACTCCCTTACACAGCTGTATAACATGGCGGTGGGTGTGTGTGTGTGTGTGTGTGTGTGTGTGTGTGTGTGTAGTGTGTCCCAGTACAGCGATGAGAACATGATGCAGCCCTATAACCTGGCGGTGTGTTTCGGGCCAAGCCTCCTGAGAGGGTCGGATTCTGGTGATGTTGTCGCTAGGCAACCGCAGGTCACCGACCTCGTCAAGACCATGATCCTCCAGTATGATGTCATCTTCCCGAGCCAATCAGAGATGCCCGGGCCCGTGTACGAGAAGCACATGACTCTGGAGCAGGAGTACTGGTAAGAAAGAGAGAGAGCTAGATAGATACTAACAAATAGTATCCTGATTTATAAACCAGTTACCATAAACCACAATCATTTTGTCACATTTAAACATCTCTTAAAGGTGCTGCATGGTCAAACCGACGTCTGCATTGGCCGTGCAGCATTTACGGTGATACGGCCTCTGCAGAAGTCAGGGCATTCATACTTCTTTCTCTTCGCGGAGCAGTGCAGAGCTGTTGAGCAGAGCTGTTATTAAGGAACTTCTCAAGGAAATTAGTTTGTGTTTATACAGGACCTCCCTCCCCATCTACCGTCAACCTATCATGTCAATGCGAAGCTATATGGAGCTTTACGGAGCCCTCCTCATTGTTACAACATTTGGGAGGTGCATGGCGATGCGGTACGGAGCTCAATTTAGCCTCTGCATGCCTCCGGAGGCTCCGCAATTGCGCCACACCCTCCATACGGAGCCTCCGAACACATTTTCGGATCAAGCTTAAATTGGCTTTTATTCTGGCACGACTGACGATATTGTTTACTTGTGGAACAGAGAGAGAAAGACTGATGTTGTCTCTGTTTGTAGTGAACCAATCACAGAGGAGGCAGATGGGGAGACTGAACAATTCCACAGTGAGGATGGTGAGCATGCACACACACACACACACACACATGCATACACACTCTCACACCACTTTCTCTTTCTTCAGAAATGTACAATAAAGTTTTGTATTTCTTGTAGAGTGGGAGGCGGTGGCCATGTTTGATTACACCGCGCGGTCTGCTACTGAGCTGTCCTTTAAGCAGGGGGATCCACTCCTTCTGCACAGCAAGGCCTCTTCTGATTGGTGGAGAGGGGAAGCGGGAGGAGTTAAGGGCCTCATACCGCATAAATACATCAGTGTGTTGGAAGGGTGAGTGAAATGTAAACAAGATACATTTAATTTTTTTGGGATCTGAAGAAATACCTCTTCCCTCTCTCTTTTCCTCCTTCAGAGCGGAGCGAGGGAGGAGGGATGAGGTCAGTGGAGGAAGCACTGGAAACCTGGCTTCAGAAGAGCTTCAGACTGAGAACACGACCCGGTACACACACACTTGTGCACTCTGAAAACACATGCACATGCTTGTGAACCACAAGAGGGGGTCTAACTGTATATATCAAGAACTAATAAAGCAACCCCATGTGTTTGTTTGTGTGTGTGTGTGTGTGTGTGTGTGTTTTGGTGTGTGTGTGTTTGACAGGCTGCGGGTGAACAGTGACAGTGCTTCGTTGCCTGGGAGACAGAGGGCAGCGGAGGGCAGCAGCAGCCCCGTCCGAAAGAACCCTCTCTCCCCCGTGACACGCCAAAACACAGGGTATGACATGCTACGCATGCACACACACACACACACACACACACACACACACACACAAACACAAACTAACACCCTCACACACACCTGTAATGTACCAAAACACTCCATCAACAATCTTTCTCTCTCCATTTCTCTCCCCTCTCTCTTTCTCTCGCCCTCTCTTCTTTCTCCCCTCCCCCGCTCTCTCCTCTTTCTCTTTCTCTCTCTCACTCCTCTCTCTCAGGAATCAGGAGCGTAGGCACACCTTGGACAGTGTGAGGCAGAGGACAGGAGCCATAGAGAGACAGACAGATGGAGGATCTATTGAAAGACCGGTGGGTGGAGATTAAGTCATTTTTGGTGACGCGCCCTTGAGACTGCTGAAATTAAATACATTGAAAGGAATTTAGTGCAGACACACTACTGGTCAAAAGTTTTAGAACTTGGAAAAGCATTCCAGGTGAAGCTGGTTGAGAGAATGCCAAGAGTGTGCAAAGCTGTCATCAAGGCAAAGGGTGGCTATTTGAAGAATCTCAAATATAAAATATTTTTTGATTTGTTTAACACTTTTTTGGTTACTACATAATTCCATATGTGTTATTTCATAGTTTTGATGTCTTCACTATTATTCTACAATGTAGAAAATAATAAAAATAAAGAAAAACCCTTGAATGAGTAGGTGTTCTAAAACTTAGTGTAGTGTAGTTCATTTGAAGCATTGCAGATGTTTCATTTGGAGCTAGATGTGGCTGGATACTGTAGGTCTAAGGACACTGAAACATGTCTCTTCCTTTCCCTCTCTCTCCCTCCCACTCGCTCTCTCTTTCAGGACATCAGTAAACAGATGAACTCTGTCTTCAAGGAGCTTCTCTCTCGCCAGCCGTCCCTACATTCTGCTGCAACCCAGACACCTCCCTTCTCTTCCTCCTCCTCCTCCTCCCTCCCTTCCTCCTCCTCCTCCTCTTCATCCCTCTCCTCCTCTCTCCCAGGAGGCAGGAAGGTGGGGTTTAGCCTTAGAGGGCGGGCTCTCTTCAGACCAGCGGACCCATAGGAGGACAGAAGCAGAATTGTGACGATGATGATTATAATAATGATGATTTATTTTTCTGACACGTTTGTGTGTGATATGATATTAGTGTGTGATGTTTGTGTGTGATATTGCTAGTCTTTTACACCTGTCTCAGTGCTGTCTATCGTTCTCTATTAGAACAAGGATGGGTTTGGTTTCCAACAACTCAGGGCTGGGGTAACTTACCTATTTCTGTGGTAAATTGTTTTTAAACTTGATATACACTCATTTAAACCACTTAGTAAGAGTATAACAACTTACTTCTTAATTATAATACTGGAAACTGGGTCCAATAGCATATCCAAGATGGCCTCCACACCAGATCCTGGGATGCTGGTTAAACTGTGAAAATGATTATTTCCACCACTCTAGTAATTCTAACTCTATGGTCTGAGGGGCTTTGTCCACTCTAGTCATTATATTTCTATGGATGCAACCCTCCTCCCTCTTCCCTGGACCACTGTTGATGATGTCACTGGGATAGCTGTATTAAAATACTTCTGTGGTAAAACGAATAAATATTAAATAGATTAAATAGAAATAGATTGGCTGGCCTGTTGTTATCGGTTGTCATACATCACAACGTCACTCAAAAGTCAGTTCAAAGTTATTTATTGTTAGTACAAAGGGGAAGTGTGTGTAATACACACATTGTCAGAAATTATTAGAGTTATCTGTTATGCTAGATAATCTACTGAACTAAATACTACAACCTAAATGGTCAAGTTGTTGATGTCTATTTCATTGGAGTGGAACTGAACATCAGTGTATGACAATGGGTGAGTTCCAGATACACAAATCCTGAACAGGGTCTGAGTAGAATATTAGATATTTTCAATTCCCGGAGAAGCCTTTAAAGTCTCAGGAACCCCATCAATCAGGAGGATGGGTTGAGAGGATGTGGGGCTTGGGTGCTGCTGTTGCGGGGTGGGACACTGCTGATGGTACACTGCTGGTGGGTGTGTGGTGTGCAGGGACTGGGTGGGTATGCGGCTGGGAATGGGTGGGTGTTGGGAGGGAGGCTGGGTGGGTGGGTGGAGGGAGGGAGGGAGGCTGGGTAGAGTGGGAGGGGGATTGAGGGGTTCTGACAGGTGGGTGGGAGCTGGGTTTGGGTGGTGCTGTGGATAGGACGGAGGGTGGGGAAATTGAATGGGGGGGTTGAGAGGTGCTGCTGCTGGGGGCTGGGGGGGAGTTGATGGGTCCTGCTGCGTGGGGGAGTGAGGAGAGGGGGCTGGGTGGGTGGTGTGCTGGGGGGATTGGGTGTGGGAGTTGAGGGGTGCTCTTGTTGAGGTAGATGACTGTGTTGACTGGGACTGTCGATGTGTTGAGTTGGGTTGATTATTTTGATGCTCTCTAATGGTCTGTAGTGATCTGTGCTGCTCTTTACTGGGTTGTGCTGGTCGCTGTTGGTCTATAGGGGTTGGACTCTGTACTGGTCTGTGGTGTTCTGTAGTGGTCTGTGCTGGTCGGTACTGGTCTGTGGTTGGACTCTGTTCTGGTCTGTGGTATTCTGTGCTGGTCTTTGCTGGGCTCTGCTGGTTTGCACTGATCTGTTCATGTCTGTGTTGGTCTTTGCTCGGCTGTGCTGGGCTCTGCTGATCAGTACTGATCTGTGTTGGTCTGTACTGGTCAGTACTGATCTGTACCGGTCTGTACTGGTCTGTAGTGGTCTGAATCCAGGGGTGCTTCAGAGTCTGAGCTGCCGTCAGTCTCTCTGTTGGATCCACCTGCAGCAACGCTCTCACCAGGCCTCGCGCTCCTACACACACACACACACACAGTAAAATATGTGTGAGCATGTGTGTGTATACATGTGTGTCTACAAGTGTGCGTGTGTATGCGTATGTATGCATGTGTGTGTGTACAAGCATGTGTGTACGTGCCTGCTTATGTCTATAACCATGTGTATGTCTCACCGTCTGAGATGTCATCCCAGTAAGGCGACAGGAAGGTGAGGTGAGCCTCTCTGATCAGCTGGAACAGCTTCCCTTGGTCTCGGTCTCTGCTCCGGAACGGAGGGAACCCACAGAGCAGGATGTACAGTATCACCCCCAACGCCCACATGTCTACTGGCAGACCATACCCTGCAGAGGGATGAGAGAGAGACAGAGGTAGAGTTAAGTGATAGATAGATAGATACAGTGGTGTGTATTCATAGATGCCAAGGGAAGCCAGACTTCCCCCAAAAATGTACCAAAAAAACATATAAAATACTTAATCTTTCGTCTCTCTGTGTTTCATAATTTGTCTTCAATTTGCAAGAGGCTGAATGTATCTCACCGGAGAAAGCATCTGAGCGAGCGAAACAGCACCCCTCTTTCTCAGTATGTGTAGCCCAAGCCCATCTATCTAATGCTGTCTGGTCAGAAAGAGTATGACATTGTTGCCACCCGTAGCATTGAATGCAAGGGAAGCCAGAGAGCATTTGGCCTCCCTTGATAAAAGTTAATTAATTAATTAACAGCCAATCAGTGTTGAGCTCAACTGAGTGAGCTCAACTGTGAATGGTCCTGGCGCACCAAAAAAAATGTCATGGGAATCCAGTTTGGATTTGGCTTTACACCAATCACATCACATCAAAAGCAGAACTCATTTACAGAAAAAACTTGAATTGTTGCATCTCGTTGTCCTCTGGTGGCTAGCTAGCTAAAATCATCCCTTTCCTAAATTAGCCATGGAAGGAGATAGGGATTTGGACTTGTGGTTTTACTTAATTCTCCTTACTGGCCAATGATTATAATGGTGATTCTGATCCAACCATAAATGCATATATTGTGCCCCTGGCCTGAGAGGATGGAAGTTCAATAAGTAGCTAGATGTAGTAGGCTAATGTTAACTAGCTGGCCTGGCGCATCGTTGCCTATGAAAGGAAGTTAGGCTAACAAGTAAGCATTTTAGCCAGGTAGCCTAGGACAACAAAAACTAAGTGTACTGTATGAGAGTCATAGACCGTTTCGGCAACATGAAAGAGAGGAGGATGTCATTGGCGTTTCTCTACCAGTAGGGTGAGTCAACATGTTTTTCTACTTGCAAGCACACAAACACAAATCAGTACCATGGACGGCCACATCATATTTAGTTTACGTTGGTTGGACTAAATTGTTTTTGGTATCTTTTAGTTTTAAACTAAGCATTGATGATTTTTAAATGTTTACGTTGAAATTGTGCTGGAAGAGTGGAGGCAGCTCCTGTTTTCTTTTTAGCCTTGCGGTAACTCTCCGAAAATGTCGGCAACATTGAGCACGGTTACATGCACACAATAATACGATTATTGTGGGTAGTCAGGTTAATATAATAGTTTGTTTAAAACGTTTACATACTTTGCAAGAAGAACGATTTCCCTAATATTTCTGAAATCAGCCTACCTGATGGGACTTTGATAAATGCAGAAAATCGCCAATCAAAATAAACGTTCTACCACAGTGACCATGTTATTTTTGTGAATACTATTTGATTCTGGGTTCGGACATGTAAAGTTTGTATGTGAAAACTATTTATAAGATGCATACGTTCAGGTTTTCCAAAATCACTTCACTCGCGCATAAGAGGGAAGCTTGCGCTACCCGGTGCTGGCACATGCGCAGATCAAATACACCACTGGAATGCTGATTAAGCTGTTTACATGTCCTAATAATTCGAAAGATTGCACACAAAACCAGGTGTTTTAATCGGTGTATGCTTACTTCGATTATGACCTTACGCTGATTAAGATAAGCAGAGTAAGGTGTTTACATGACTAATGCCATACTCGGCCTTCTGCCATAATCAGTTTAATATCGAATTAATAGTGTGCATGTAAAGGTACTCATTAATATAATTATAATATAATATGCCATTTAGCAGACGCTTTTATCCAAAGCGACTTACAGTCATGCGTGCATACATTTTTGTGTATGGCCATTAACTTGCTTGACCATTCTGTAGGTCATGTAACTGTTTGTTACATGCAAACTGCTTTGTGGACTTCACCGGACAGATGTTGCTCTCTGGTTTTGTGATGAAACAAAGGTGTGGTGTAATTTATTCTGCCACTTTGTCTTCTTATTGTCTCGGCCTTAGGCCTATATATCACGGTGGCAAGGCATATGAACTAACAGGTTATAGAGAAAACAACGTAATTATCACAACACACGCACAGCTACTGTAGAGTGATAGATAAAGGTATATATAAAGTGATAGACGTGTCACCTGTCTCTAAGAGGATCTCCGGGGCGACATAGGTGGGAGTTCCACACACAGTGAAGATGGGTTCTGTTACAACCATGGCCAGACCAAAATCACCCAGCTTCAACCTACTGACACCATCACTACTGCACTCCACCTAGAAGAGAGAGGGAGGGGGGAGAGAGCGAGAGAGATGGAGAGAGCAGCAGGGAGAGAGTGGGTTACAGAGAGAGATGCTTGAAATGCTTGTATTCACACACATATGCACCTGCACAGACACACAGACACACCAGCACAGACACACAGACACAGACACACACACACCAGTAGGTTTTCAGGTTTCAGATCTCTGTGTACTATGGTCTTGCTGTGGATGTATTTCAGAGCCTCGCTGACATCACACACCATCAGCCCCGCCTCCTCTTCTGGAAACTTCCCACGCTCCGCGATTGCCTCAAACAGGTCGCCCCCGGTAACCATCTCCATGACGAGATAGGAGTGTGTGTGTGTGTGGTGGTGTGTGAAGAGGCGAACCACGCGGGGTGTGACAGGCTACCCAGAAGGCTCAGCTCATTCTGCATCATGTGCTCTCGGCCAATGAGCTTTGAGTGCTCCACAATCTTCACAGCGAAGTCTTCCCCATTGTCGCGCCGACGACACTCGTGCACAACCGCAAAGTTCCCGTCTCCAACCATGCGGCCAATGTCATAGCAACGCTCGATGTCCGACAGGGTGACATCACTACCATTAGATGGGAGGTCAAATATCACTTCCTGTTTAGTCCTCGCCTCTTCCTGTTTAGAATCTGAGGATGAACGTTCTGATTGGCTGAGGGACTCCTGCTCAAACCTGCAGATTGGTCCAGTGTGGCGTGGGGTGGGACCGACGTGAGGTTTCTCTACTTCCTGGTCATTTGGTCTGTTTCCTGTTTGCTTCCTGGTTACGGGAGGAAATGGAGCTCTCCCTGCTCTCAGATTGGGTCCTTCAGAGGGCTTACAGTTCCTGCAGCGTGGAGGAGGGGGCGTGTCTAGCTCCTCTCCTAGCTCCTCCTCCTGGGTGAGTGGACCTATCGGTGAGGAGATAATCTTTCTGGCTCCAACTTTCACTATGACCCTCTGAAGGTGATTGGGGGGGTGAGAGGGATGTGTGGAGTGTCGGTTAGAATGTTTGTTAGGGTGTGTGTGTGCATCCGTGTCCAGGTGTGTGTGAATAGGGTGTATGGACTGTCTGGTTGGGTGTTCGTTTTTGTGTGTGGGATGCCTGTTTGGGTGTGTCAGTGTGTTTGGGTGTTTATTGTGTTGTGTCAGTGTGTTTTTGTGTGTATGTGTGTGTGTGTCCAGGTTGCGTCCCTGTGTGTGTGTAACGCTGTGTGTCTGTGTGTTCGTGTCGAGGCTTGTGTGTGTGTCCTTGTCGGTGTGTGTGTGTATGTCTGTCCCCTCGCTGTATCCGCTGTCGGCCTTGGCAGCTTTATCAGGTGAAGGTCGTAACCTCCTCTCCCAGGCCTGGAGTGCGTCGTTGCGGTAACAGGAATGTTGTGGAAACAGCTCCTCCAGGGCCTCCTCGACGCTCCGGAGCTCTGGACGAGACTTTCCCAATGCCAGGAACGCTGCTTCGCCACGGAAGAAATCACACACACCCCGCACCTGGAGGGTTAGACACACACACCTGGATTTAGAGGTGTGTTGTTGTTGTTGTTGTTGTTGTTGTTGTTGTGTGCGTGTAGTTACCTCTCGTGCGTGAGGTGTGTAGAGGCGTGTGACTCTGGCCCTGTGCCAGCGAGGTAACCCCAGCGCCTCGGAGATGTCAGATAGAAGCTGCTCGTACGAGACCACACTCCTACGGTTCAACAGCAATGTCACCTGACCAGGCATAAAGATGATGTCATCAATAAACCAGGAAGTACTGAACATGTGGGAGCCAAGCCAACCATATCATTATAATTTAATAAAATGTAATTGAAGCCAGCTTCTTCCATTATGAATCAGGTGTGTTACTGCAGGAATGGAACAAAATCCTGCAGATCCAGTAGCTCTCCAGAAAGAGGGTTGGTTACTTTGTAATCATTAATCATTTCATTCTGGACCGTTACCTTCCTGAGGGTGCTGTGACCGCATGGTCGGACCACAGTGACCAAGCGTGGTCGCTCGGCACTCTGCTCAGCATGACGAGTGTGGAAGACTGGGAAAGGAGGAGGGAGATGGGTCCTAGTGGCTGGAGGGAGGGGGTCAAGATGGGGGAGGGGGAGAGAGGGCCAGGGCTGTGGGTGGGGAACACCCCCCATACGCTTAGAGAGGGAGGAATCTGTGAGAGAAGGGGGGAAGAGAGGATGGTGGGGAGGCAGGGAGAGAGCGGAGAGAGAGAAGTGAAATATGTGGGGAAAAGGGTGAGAAAGAGAGTGAGACAGAAAAAGGGGTAAAGATTGTAGGGGTGAGAGAGAGATTAAAGAATCAACAGGTTAGTTAGATAAATTAGTTGAGACGATTTCTTTCCAATTTCCAAATTTGTCATCATCAACTGTCTGTATAGGTTAACTGGGCTACTGCTTTTCCTTAGATAAGCAAGGAAGTAACATGATGCGTGGTCCTCATCGTGTATGTATGAGTGTGTGTGTGTGTGTGTGCGCGTGTCTTAAGGAAGCGTTAATAATTTAGACAGGAGAGTGGGGCGCTCAAAGAATCTCAAATGGCCCGTGCAGTCCGAGGGATGGAAAAGACTCAAATCTGATCAGCCGGATTTGTTTACATCACACACACACACACACACACACACACACACACACACACACACATACACACTACAGCAACAAAAGCGTGGCCTAGTTCTTTCCTGAAGCTGCATGTTTAATGAAGCATTAGACACAGTGTCAAAGTTGAAGACGTTTCACTTTCAGACACACACACACACACACACACACACACACACACACTTGTGTTGTCCATGGAGTTGGAGAGGAGGTATGGGATCCCTCCCTGACACAGTATGTGCCATGAACCTATTTTACCCCTTTAACAAGGCTATCCCAAAAATTCACACGGTTCTCCCATCAAGCTACAAAACATTTTTTCTGTCAGCTTTTCACTGAGGCAGACCCTAACCTCCTATAAACAAACACCTCATAAAAATAACACTAACACAACAATAAGGACAAGGCCAAAGCGCTGAGGTTCATGCACAGATGAAGCCACAACGGCGACCAGAATACAAGATACAGTTGTATCTGTATCTTACTCGTTCTTGCTCGTTCTTGAATCCTTCATGGGATGAGCCTCACAATTTGCACTTTTTTTTTTTACATAACAAATGCTATATTTTTTTCTAAAATACAGAAATAATAAGACTAAACAATATATATATATTTGAGAGAAATTATAATGTTTTACTTTTAAAGCACGAAGAGTGAGAGTTTTCACCTCCTGACTGACATGCCGCTCTCCATCTCGCACCTGGCGCGGTGTAGCCGCATCCGAACCGTTGTTTCCACACGGGCGTCATAGCCTACCTGTTCACTTCTAGCACAATCATTCAGAGTTTCCGTTGGACATTTCTTTACCCGCAGCGGAGGCCATTTCTACAATGTAACATCGTCTTCCTTTGCCGTTTTTGGAAGAGAGATGAGGGATAGGCCTAGTTGACTGGATGCGCGCGTAGAGCCGCTTTTACCAGAACATAGAAGGAACACCAGGGTTGCTACGGGTGCGCGTGGGAGGAGTCCAGTTGTGCAACTTAAAACTCTCTCGAAAGTTATAAGAAAGGGAAGGCGGGCAGGGACAACCGAAACCTGTGAGTCGAATGGGATGTTAGCTTACATAACTACACGCACACAAACCGGGACGGTAACAATAACAAGGTGAGTCCAGGTGATCATTGCCGGGATAACGGGAGAGATGCGTCACCGCTCTGGCACAGCTCGAGCCCCGTTCCCAACAGCCCCCCGTGCCTTTCCGCACAAACACACACACAATCACAGGCACACCCACACAGTAGGCTATGCAATTGACAACAAAAACAACTTTTCCCCTTGGTTTTGTGCAGAGCAACTTCATTACCAATCCTTTTTCATGCAGTGGGCTAAATCAGGGTGTTTCTTGGTAGTCTTAAACAAATCTTCTTTGAAACAACAGTATACACTTCACACACATGGTTATGGGCTTTAAAAAAAAGAAGACACCTGTACCATGTCAGATATGTATTACATTTTGAGTTTGCATCCCAATATTACACTTCATATACAATTGAAGTCGGAAGTTTACATACACCTTAGCCAAATACATTACAACTCAGTTTTTCACAGTTCCTGACATTTAATCCTAGTACAAATTCCCTGTCTTAGGTCAGTTAGGATCACCACTTTTTTTTATAATGTGAAATGTCAGAATTATAGTAGAGAGAATGATTTATTTAAGCTTTTATTTATTTCATCACATTCCTAGTGGGTCAGAAGTATACTCAATTAGTATTTGGTAGCATTGCCTTTAAATTGTTTAACTTGGGTCAATCGTTTCGGGTAGCCTTCCACAAGCTTCCCACAATAAGTTGGGTGAATTTTGGCCCATTCCTCCTGACAGAGCTGGTGTAACTGAGTCAGGTTGGTTGGCCTCCTTGCTCGCACATGCTTTTTCAGTTCTGCCTACACATTTTCTATAGGATTGAGGTCAGGACTTTGTGATGTCAACTCCAATACCTTGACTTTGTTGTCCTTAAGCCATTTTGCCACAACTTTGGAAGTATGCTTGGGGTCATTGTCCATTTGGAAGACCCATTTGTGACCAAGCTTTAACTTCCTGACTGATGTCTTGAGATGTTGCTTCAATATATCCACATGGATAAGAGCGTCTGCTAAATGACTAAAATGTAAAATTTAATAATTTTCCTTCCTCATGATGCCATCTATTTTGTGAACTGCACCAGTCCCTCCTGCAGCAAAGCACCCCCACAGCATGATGCTGCCACCCCCGTGCTTCACGGTTGGGATGGTGTTCTTTGGCTTGCAAGTCACCCCCTTTTTCCTCCAAACATAACGATGGTCATTATGGCCAAACAGTTCTATTTTTGTTTCATCAGACCAGAGGACATTTCTCAAAAAAGTACGATCTTTGTCCCCATGTGCAGTTGCAAACCGTAGTCTGGCTTTTTATGGTGGTTTTGGAGCAGTGGCTTCTTCCTTGCTGAGTTGCCTTTCAGGTTGTCGATATAGGACTCATTTTACTGTAGATACTTTTGTACCTGTTTCCTCCAGCATCTTCACAGGGTCCTTTGCTGTTGTTCTGGGATTGATTTGCACTTTTCGCACCAAAGTACATTCATCTCTAGGAGACAGAACGTGTCTCCTTCCTGAACAATTGTTTGTACAGATGAACGTGGGTCAGAAGTTTACATACACTAAGTTGACTGTGCCTTTAAACAGCTTGGAAAATTCCAGAAAATGATGTCATGGCTTTAGAAGCTTCTGATAGGCTAATTGACATCATTTGAGTCAATTGGAGGTGTACCTGTGGATGTATTTCAAGGCCTACCTTTAAACTCAGTGCCTCTTTGTTTGACATCATGGGAAAATTAAAAGAAATCAGCCAAGACCTCCAAAGAAAATGTGTAGACCTCCACAAGTCTGGTTCATCCTTGCGAGCAATTTCCAAATGCCTGAAGGTACCACGTTCATCTGTACAAACAATAGTACGCAAGTATAAACACCATGGGACCACGCAGCCGTCATACCGCTCAGGCAGGAGACGCGTTCTGTCTCCTAGAGATGAACATACTTTGGTGCGAAAAGTGCAAATCAATCCCAGAACAACAGCAAAGGACCTTGTGAAGATGCTGGAGGAAACAGGTACAAAAGTATCTATATCCACAGTTAAACAAGTCCTATATCGACATAACCTGAAAGGCCGCTCAGCAAGGAAGAAGCCACTGCTCCAAAACCGCCATAAAAAAAGCCAGACTACGGTTTGCAACTGCACATGGGGACAAAGATCTTACTTTTTGGAGAAATGTCCTCTGGTCTAATGAAACAAAAATAGAACTGTTTGGCCATAATGACCATCGTTATGTTTGGAGGAAAAAGGGACACCAAAGTCAAGGTATTGGAGTGGCCATCACAAAGCCCTGACCTCAATCCTATAGAAAATGTGTGAGCAGAACTGAAAAAGCATGTGTGAGCAAGGAGGCCTACAAACCTGACTCAGTTAAACCAGCTCTGTAAGGAGGAATGGGCCAAAATTCACCCAACTTATTATATACTGTATGTCAAATTCACAGTTTGTGAAAAACAATTTATAGGAATTTCATTGAATTGAAAATGTGTGTTTCTGTCCCTCAGGTGTGTGGTGGAGATGTGCTCTGCAGACAGAGATATGGAGAGAGAGCAGGAGAGAGAGAGAAACAGAGAGGAAGAAAAATAAACTGAGAAAGTAATTAACAAACAAAAACAGAGAAAGAAACAGACAGACAGATAGACAGACGAGGAGAGAGAGGGGGAGGTGAGAGAGAGAGAGAGAGTTAGAGTGGTGGTCTCTCTGGTTTCAGGCATAGCTGAGGTGGAATCCCACGTCTGTCCGGCCTGTCTCTTTGTCCTGCTCTCCCCAAGGGTCCGTCACCATGGTTACTGTTAACACCGGGTCAGTTACCACGGTTACTGCTAACACCGGGTACCCGGCGATGGGTCTCATTCCGGATACTCATCCTGGATTTACCCATCAGATAACAGGATGTGTGTGTGGGTAGGTGGGTTTGTGTGAGTGTGTGTCACAGGAGGCTGCTTAGGGGAGGACGGCTCATAATAATGGCTGGAATGGAGTGAATGGAAAGGTATCAAACACGGAAACCATTCCATTAATTCCATTACAGCTATTACTATGAGCCCGTCCCCCCCAATTAAGGTGCCACTGGACGCCTTTGGTGTGTGTCAATACCGAGGTAGTGCATGGTGCAGGAGGGGTACGAGTATCTGAGGATCTTGGAGCTTGCCTACATTGGGAATCGCCAATAGGGGTAGTCTGGGCAGATTTGAATTCTGTTGTTGATTTTTCCAAGCAGGAAGTTTACCTGTTTTCTATGATGATGTCATAATGTCCACCTTAACCACCAGAGGAATGAAACATGATCTATCTCACCACCAGAGAGCAGAAGACACTCACTGTAGTACCATACTACTGTAGTACCATCAGACTGTCAGCAGAGGGAACACGTTGAGCAGACAGAGACAACCAGGATTCCTCCAATGTAGAGGCTAAAGGGACATAATAATAATATGCCATTTAGCAGACGCTTTTATCCAAAGCAACTTACAGTCATGTGCGCATACATTTTTACATATGGGTGGTCCCGGGGATCGAACCCACTACCCTGGCGTTACAAGCGCCATGCTCTACCAATTGAGCTACAGAGGACCACATCAAATCAAATGTTACTGGTCACATACACATATTTTGCCGATGTTATCACAGGTGCAGCAAAATGCTTATGTTTCTAGCTCCAACAGTGCAGTAATACCTAAGAATACAAAACAATACACACAAATCCCCCCAAAATAAAATTTAGAAATTAAAAAATATCCTAAGGAGCAATGTCAGAGTCCGGAATATAAATATATATAATGGTGTGTATAGACAGTATGGACAGTATATGAATAGAAAAGGTGTGTACAGCAGTAGTTATATAGGATGAGCCAGTGTTCAATGACTATGTACATAGGGCAGAAGTCTCTAAGGTGCAGGGTAGAGTACCGGGTGGTAGCCGTCTAGTAACAGTGACTAAGTTCAGGGCAGGGTACTGGACGGAGACTGGCTAGTGGTGACTATTTAACAGTTTGATGGCCTGTAGATAGAAGCTGTTTTTCAGTCTCTCAGTCCGAGCTTTGATGCACCTGTACTGTCTCCTCCTTCTAGATGGGAGTGAGGTGAACATGCCGTGGCTGAGGTCCTTGATGATCTTCTTGGGGTTCCTGTGACACCGGGTGCTGTAGATGTCCTGGAGGGCAGGCAGTGTGCTCCAGGTGATGCGTTGGGCTGACCGCACCACCCTCTGGAGAGCCCTGCGGTTGTGGACGGTGCAATTGCCATACCAGGCAACAGGATGCTCTCAATGGTGCATCTGTAGAAGTTTGTGAGGGTCTTAGGGGCCAAGCTGAATTTATTCAGCCTCCTGAGGTTGAAAAGGCACTTTTGCGCCTTCTTCACCACACTGTCTTTGTGGGTGGACCATTTCAGTTTGTCAGTGATGTGCATGCCGAAGAACTTGAAGCTTTTCACCCTCTCCACTGCGGACATAACATTGTTTCAACTCTAACTATGGTGTGTTAGTATGGTTTGTGTGTGTGTGTGTGTGTGTGTGTGTGTGTGCGCTAGTCTTCAGAGGATTAGGACATCAAGATATGGGTGGAATGTGAATATGTAAAAAAAATAAAAAAAGACAAACTAACACCCTTGCCTTTGTTGCTCTAACACTCACGCTTGTCTTTATTTACCAGCACTGACTTTGCTGATAGCTACTTTATT